CTGAAGTCAACTGATCAACTTCAGTACAACCAGTCTGCCAAAAGATGGATCAAATTTCGGCTGGTCGTATTTTTTTTTTTTTTTTTTTTTTTTTTTTTTTTGTGTTTCTTTTGCTGAATTGGTCAAGATACAATCCACCTATGGCTGGATTAAGTGTTACTAAACTGCAGCAGAAGACAATTGGGTCTTCTTTCATGTCAAGCAGTAAGACAGTTCCCATATACTGTACGTATGTCATCCATGTATTCAGCTTTTTGCCTGGCGTTCAAATCTAAAACACCACTTGAAAATCGATTTCCATCTGCAATCTCTTGCACAACAGATAGAGTAGGAGGCTCTGCTATTAAATCCAATCAGAATCTTTTGCATTGCCCAGCACTGTAAAGTTAATTTGTTTTCAGGTACCGAAAGCTGGAAGTGTTCAGAACTTAAAGAAGGACACTCTTTCACAGCCTATGTGCACAAAAGTAACAGCAAAACTGCAGAAGTGAACAGTGGTGTCATATAGAAGCAATTCAGCAGTGAATTTAGCAGTGTGCCTAGTGTTCTGCTATAAATCGTAAACTGAATGCTTAACAATTGCTGCAGAAATCTAACACACATTTATGTCCAATTATGAAATAAACGTCCAGTGAAAGGTTATAGATTGTGCACTGTAGTCAAAGCTGACCTTCCATGGTTCCTCCCTTCCTACATGCAATTTTTTTTTTTTTTTTTTTTTTTTTTTTTTATACTAAAACCTTTCAATTCCATTCCTTATTTTAAACCCATTGATGTCATCACTGGGTCTCTATGCTTTTCTATGGGAGAGGCTGGCAAGGATCTGTATATAACTTCCTGAAATACAACACAGCACCATACTTCAGTACTCAATAACCCCAAGCCCTAATGCAAAAAACACTGGCTTGGCACTTGGGAGGAGAAAAAAAAAAAAAAAAAAGAAGGAGAAGAAGTAATGGGTGGAAGAGTCTGCAGGAGTCGGCATTCCTTGGCAGGCTGCATTTGCATACAAGCTGACCAAGGTGGTACCCACATGTGATACTGAGCCTCCATGATCGAAAGAACTTAAGCAAAAGGCAAGTCAAAACCTAAGCTTAAATCTACTCCCACCCCATTCTAAGACTATTCTATCTACCCTTTAAAAGGAAAGATCAGAATACTTACCTTTTCTGAAGTTGCTCCAGTCTAGTCACATGATTGAGTTCCAGCGCCAGCTTCAGCAAAGAGGACAGACAGCAGTCAATGGATGCCCCATAGCAAGCATATGGGTGATGTTATTGCCGCCTAGGTTCTGCAGCCATTGTCAGATCTCTCCTTTATACTGAAGCCAGTGCTGGAGAGATCATGTGACCGGATAGGAGCATAGGCAAGTATAGACGTCTTTCCTTTTGCAGGGTAGATAGAAAATACTTAGAATGGGGATGAGAGTAGATTTAGGCTTTGTAGGTTTTGACTGAACATCTACTTTAAAACAAATGAACAAAAAGGTGGGCTAGGGACAGTCAGGCTGGGGAGGAAAGGACTAGATGTGAGAAATCCTCCAGCCAGCAGATGAGGTGGGCTCTCTGTCTGTAGCTTCTAAAGGATATTGTGAGAAGCTCACTGTATGCAGTGACAACAGAGTAAGCAATTTAGGTCCAGGAAAGGAGCTCGTGCCACTTTGCAAGGCTGATAGGAAGGCTGGAGTTCAGCCTTAAGTAGCAGCGATGTCACACCAGGATATAGACAAGGCCAGAGGGCTTGGGTATCTCACGACATCTGCACAGAGAGGACAGACCAGAGAAATGAAACGTGCTTAAACTCTCCATTTCCTGAAGGATTACCTTTCATGCAGAGAAAGCAGATGGATGGGGGCGCCTGTAATCCTGCCATCTAATCCGCGGGGGAGACAGAGGACGATCTGCCAGCAAGTTCACAGCCGGAGTTCAAAGTGCAACAGACACAACAGTGTCCAAAAAAAAAAAAAAAAAAAAAAGGAAAAAAAAAAAAAAAAAAAAAAGGGTGACGTGTGACACATTTAAAGACAAAGTCAGCCACGCCAACATTCTGGCCTGCGGAGGGACACTTCAATAAGTCGTTGAGGCATTTTATTTCATTGTTTTGTTTAACTGTTACATTTTTTTCAGGATTGAAATTTATAGGGCTGCTCCCTTTCTTGCTTCTGGTTAAGTTATAACTTGAAATACAGTTAGGTCCATATATATTTGGACACAGGCACACTTTTCATACTTTTGCCTCTGTAGACTACCAGAATAAATTAAACGAAACAATCCAAAATGAATTTGAAGTGCAGACTTTCAGCTTTAATTCAAGGGGTTGAACATAAATATCAAGTACAAATTTTAGGAACTGCAAACATTTTTATACACAGTCCCTCCATTTTCAGGGGCTCAAACGTAATTGGACAAAAATGAATATAATCATAAATAAAATGTTCATTTTTAATATTTTGTTGAGAATCCTTTTCTGGCAATGACTGCCCAAAGTCTGGAACACATGGACATTACCAAAGACTGGGTTTCCTCCTTTCTGATGCTTCGCCAGGCTCTAACTGCAGCTGTCTTCAGTTGTTCTTTGTTTGTGGGTCTGCCTTAAGTGTTGCCTTCAGCAAGTGAAATGCATGCTCAATTGGGTTGAGATCAGGTGACTGACTCGGCCATTGCAGAATATTCCACTTTGCCTTTAAAAGCTCCTGAGTTGCTTTTGCAGTGTGTTTTGGATCATTGTCCATCTGTACTGTGAAGTGCCGTCCAATCAACTTTGCTGCATTTGGCTGAATCTGGGCTGACAGTATATATCTAAACCCTGCAGAATTCATCCGGCTGCTTCTGTCTTCTGTCACATCATCTATAAACACAATGACCCAGTGCCACTGGAAGCCATGCATGCCCATGCCATCACACTGCCTCCACCATGTTTTACAGATGACGTTGTGTGCTTTGGATCATGAGCTGTTCCAAGCCTTCTCCACACTTTTTTGTTCTCGTCATTCTGGTACAGTTTAATCTTAGTTTCATCTGTCCAAAGAATGCTTTTCCAGTACAGGTCTGACTTTTTTTTTTTTAGATTTTTTTTTAGCAAAGTCTAATCTGGCTTTTCTAACTTCAGGCTTATGAATGGTTTTGCACCTTGTGGTGATCCCTCTATTTGCTCTCATGAAGTCTTCTCTTGATTGTAGACTTTTACAATGATGCGTCCACCCCCTGGAGAGTGTCCTTCAGTTGTCTGGATGTTGTGAATGGGTTTTTCTTTACCATAGAGGATCCTGCAATCATCCACCACTGTTGTCTTCCGTGGACATCCATGCCTTTTTATGTTGCTGAGCTCACCAGTGCGTTCTGCTTTCCTCAGAATGTACCAAACTGTTGATTTGGCCACTCCTAATATTGCAACTATCTCTCTGATGGATTGGTTTTGTTTTTGAAGCCTTACAAAAGGCCTATTTCATTTGCATGGACAGCTTCTTTGAACGCATGATGAGTTCACAGCAATAGATTCCAAATACCACACTTAGAATCAACTCCAGACCTTTTATCTGCTTAATTGAAGAAATAACAAAAGGAGTAGCCCACACCTGGCCATGAAACAGCTTTTTATTCAACTGTCCAATTACTTTTGGTCCCTTGAAAAAGGGGGATGGCTATTCGTAAGCTGTAATTCCTAAACCCTTCCTCATATTTGGATGTACATACCCTCAAATTTAACCTGCCAGTGTGCACTTTCAGCCCATATCCGTTATATAAACTATAGCCTGAATATGTTTTGGAAAATACCTGAGGGGAAAAAAAAAAAAAAAAAAAAAAAGGTACAAAATTGTGCCCGTGTACAAATATATATGGACCTAACTGTATGCTTTCCTTTCAAGGGGCTCCCCCTAGAAGGTAAGCCAATTTGGCCATGGCCCCCTTTTGTGTTCTTCATCTTAGCTTGTTTAATGTTGCCATACATCAGCAGAATTTTTTTCAAACATTGGTATGGATATGCAGAAAACTAACAAACACACACCACTTTGTCAGAGCATTAGAGAGTACTTTTATGAACACAACAGATTTCTAATGAAAACCATGAAAAATTTAGTTCAATGGCCACGCCAATGTTCCAAAATTCTGCATTTAATTTCAGGATGCACAGTCACAATACAGCAAGTATGAGTTTTCATGAACTACATTCAGTTTGAATTTAATTCACTTTTTTTAACAAAGTTCTACTGGATTATGGGCAGCTTTGGCCTGGGGTTTGTCATCTATACGAGTTTGTTACAAAAAAAAAAAAAAAAAAAAAAATATCCAAAAAACAAAAATAAAATCTCCAAACTGAGCATCACTTCCTCAGACTGTTACTCCTAAAAAGGGAAGCAATTCGACCTCCAAAACATGTTGCATTTTTAAAAAAATTGATTGTTGTTTATGTAATCTGGATGGATCAAATTCCTCTAGTCTGCATGTTATGGACCTACAATATTAAGCAGCACTCTTACCAAGCATCAATGTCTGATGATTTTTTTGTTCCTGTGGGTATGTCTCTGCTGTTGGATCTTGCTGCATTTAGATGTCATAACCCTTTATCTATCAGTGATTGCAAATCTCTGAACGCTGGACTCGATATATTGTGAAAGCCTGTTTGCCATAATATACACATCTGTGTTCCCAGCCATCTGGAAAGGTTAACTTTTTTGGAGAACACATTTTCCACATTTAGACTCACTGATACTCTTAGACTGACCCGGTGATTTTGTCTCTTTCCAGTGTAAATTTCACTTTAGGGGTCATCAGGCAGCTGCTTGAAGAGTGTCAACTCTACATAAGAATGCTTTGTTATGGATTTCCAGGCTCCCCTCTACATAAGGGGTTTCTGGACTTAGGACTTACAGAATAAGGGATGAATGAGCACAAGTAGTATCTCAAGAGTGTGCCGATTCTCATTCATTGTTCGTTACGGAGGGTGAAGTAGCATAAAAATACAATGTGAATCATAAGAACGCCTGAACCATATTTACTTACCCATCCTCCCTGCTGGATGATGTAGTCAAAACACATTTCCTCAATATATGATACTCCAAGTTGTACAAGATTGTCTAGCTGACGATTCCCGTGCCTTGTGAGCTCCAGCAGGAGGCGCTGTAAGAGGACCAGAGGTACCAAAACCTGCAGTACAACAGGTGACATATTATACTTTCCATATAAACACCATATAAAATTACATTTCACATTGAATCATGTCAAAAGAGAAAATACAGAAGACAATCATCCCTTTCCAGAAAAAGAATATGAAAGAATCCCTGTAAGGTCACATTCATCTGCCTTGAGAGCAATTAGATACGGTTTTATAGATGGCAAAAGCACCAGTGACAAACATGACGACAGCTAGGCAATGCCATTGAATACCGGAAGATATAACATTTTATACTACTTTTTCCAGGCACAAAACCATTTTTTGTATTCTTATACCCAGACAGGAGATTGACCTTTTGGCTCCTATTTTTAAAGCGATTCTAAAAAGGTTTTTTTTTTTAAAACATGTCTATACTTACCTGCTGTGTGCAGTGGTTTTGCACAGAGCAGCCTGGATCCTCCTCTTCTCGGGTCCCCCACAGGCTCTCCTGGCTCCTCCTGTCTGTTGGGTGCCCCCACAGTAAGCAGCTTGCTATGGGGGCACCCACTGCTCAGTGTGTCCATTCACACACGGAGCCGCGGATTGTCCCCACACCCCTTTCTCCTCATTGGCTGTGATTTGACAGCAGCGGGAGCCAATGGCTCCCACTTGCTGTCTCAGTCAATGAGGAGGCAGAGACCCAGGACAGCTGAGGCTGTCATTCACATCGCTGGATCGCGATGAGGCTCAGGTAGGTATTAGGGGGTTGGGGGAGCGGCTGCACACTATATGCATGAAGGTAAAAAAAAAAAACCTTGTCTTTACAACCACTTAGGTTTTAAAATTTTAACAGTTATTACTACATGGGAAAAAAAACTTATCTTTTCCATTTTCTTCAAGCCAGGTAAATTTGCTCCCCCCCCCCCCAGTACCCAAGCAGGTGACCCTGTCAGTTGCTTTTCACATTTTCAAGGCTCTCCCTGGCAACTTTGCTGTAAAAAATTTGTTTACAGGCTCAACACGAAAAGTAGCTGAGTCTGAGGTCCATACCATACAAGGTTTCAATTAGAGGCTGTATGTCTGATAGGAGATAAAAGTATGTTAAAAAAAAAAACAAAAACATTTTTATGTCTCATTTACATTTCACACATACTGTATTTTTATTGGCACATAGCATCCTTGCAGCTGCAAAGATAAAAGCAGTTACAGGATGGGCCACCTATACAGAGTACTGTTTTCATCCAGTCTTAGACCAGAAAAGGTGCACTTAGCCAGCCATACAAGGATCAAAATTCAGCCAGTTCAGCAGGGACCAGCTGGGATTTGATCCATAGGAGGCAGGGTGATCGTACTCCATCGATCGACTTGGGAATAGCCCGCCGGTCTGATTTTTCACATTCAATTACTGCTGGCGGCTATAGTCCCTAGCAGTAACAATCATGTTCTGCAGACCTGGACGGCTCCCCATCTGCAGAACACAATAGCACTGCAGGAGGCATTCACCATCAACACTAACAGTGTTGACCAGGGAATCAAGCAATTTCCTTTCCTAACTATGGTGGAGAAGAAAAGAAAATCAAGCCATCTATGGGCTGCTTAAGAGAGAAAAAGGAAAGTACAATCACTGTGCAGAAGGTGGGAAGAAAATGTATTTGTTTGCTGAGAGATTTTAATAGCTTTCCATTAGTGTGTTATCTAATCTGTCTATGTAATGACCAACTATGGCTCACTCACTTACTAAATACTTACAAATCACACATATTAATAAGGGATGTAATACAGTACCACACACACACACCACACAAAACATCATGGAAGCACACAGGGGGTGTGTAGAATGACCTGTCTTTTCATCCAGCTGCAACCCCAAAATGATCTGTAAATTTGTCAGAAATAAAATAATTTTTTGCAAAACAATATCCCCAAAAGAAAGCCTTGTTTGTCCTATAAAAAAATTTGTGTATTATTACTTTTTATCTTACAGTAAAGCAGAAATGTAAACGTTGCACTGGTGCTTAGTAGGTATACAGGTGTGAAAGATGAAGTGCTTAAAACATGAATCAGAACATCTGTGTAGAAGATATTAAATGACATTCATCAGGGACCAGTCCCTTGCCTGAAGCTTGGGTGGATTCCTACAGCAGAGATTGGGCACCCCAGGACAGGTGAACTGAACATGTTTTCACCAGTAGGGCAGAGCAATTGCTTATGTGCAGATGAATGAAAACCAGGTTTTTATTACCATGTAAACCAAATATTTCTCTTAAACGCACACCCAACTACATATCGGTGTCTTACCTGGTTCCATCCAGAAGTGTGTACAGCCGCAACTTCTGCCTCCTTCTTGAACAGCTCATAAGTCAAGTTCCTGTCGGGATCAAGGAAAGATCACCAATCTGACCTTGGCCAATGCCTGCCAGTACATTCACTGATGATTAAACGGGCTGGCAAATAATTAAAACTGGCAAACCTACCCAAAAGTGATGCAGTTGCCTTTGCAATTCATACTCTGTCCAACCTGACTTTTTCCCTGGTCATTTAAAGCTTAAATCTAGGCTTAGCCTTTTATCCCCCAGCCATCCCCCAATCGGCCTCAGAATGAAATGGTTGTTTTGGGTTTGTTTTTTTTTTTTTAAACACTTGGTCACAATACTAGCTGGGTCCTCTACCATTTTTCTTCTGGCAGATAGTGTTCCTAGGTGATGCACAGAGCAGTGCTGGTGCAATGACATCAGTGCTGTTTTCTGCATCAGTGCACTGTGAGTGCAGGGTGCCATGCTCAGAGGGCTAGGCCATGACAATCTATTATACACTTTCCTTTTGACAGTCTCCTAGACTGAGTGATACTAGTTGTCATTCAACCCAGAGAAAAAAAAAAAAAAAAAAAGTACATCCTTGGTGAAAGCTATAGCTTCCGTCACAGATACAATAGAGAGTGACGGAAGTGTGTTACTGGCAGGATCACCAAGCAAAGAAATGTAAGCTGCAATGCATTACATTTTTTGTTTTGCATTCTGGTCACTGAATTATAATAAATTATATCTGAACAGTCAGTGCACTGTATGGGCCAAAATATCTTATATATAGTATGGGAAAAAAAAAAAAAGAAGGAGGTAGAGCCATTTTATTGTGTGCTTATATTAAAGTTTTACTCTCACATGTGCCGATGATTAAAGTGAAGGACACAGAAGACAAAACCAGGAGGTGGGGGAACCTCTTTAACATCTTTCACCCATGTACAGCTTTGAAAGCATTTGTCAATTCTGAATGCCCAGAAATCCGGCAAAGGATTTATTTTCATATTTTCCTCGGTCTTACTGTCTGTATTGCAGCCATTGACTGCTGAATAGGGGAATTTCTCCCATCACAGGGCTGAGAAGACTAAGACCTCAGCTGGAAGTAGATTGTCTTAATGGTTTAGCACTGTCTACATGCCAAACTGAGCCCACAGCACGAGGTGGGTGAAGCATTACACCAAAGGCATAAGTTCATTACACCAAAGGCATACATTGTAGCAGTAACCTCTGAGTCTCCTTGTCAAACTACGCATGGAAAAAAAGAAAAGAAAAGAAAAAAGGAAAAAAAAAAAGGGGTGAGATCCAGGAGGGAAAAAAAAAAAAAAAACCCCACCACAAAAAATTACCAATCAACCAAAACTACTATTTTTTGTATGTTTAGATTATAGCTTAGATTATATTATAGCTATATTCACCTGCTTAGGAGGTTCCGGCAGGCTTGGTCCAATTGCCCTGGGATCTCAAGACACATCCTCTCTGCTAGCTGTGCTAGACAGTCTTCAATGGCGCTCTCGGGGCTAACAGGACTGAATACTGGCGAGGTGTGCATATCAAAGCCAGTGCTGGGGAAGGCTGGAAAAAAACAAAAACAAAAGCAAAGCCTTTACCTAAAATATATATATATACAATTTTTGTACTGCTCCGGAGACTACCCCAGTGGTTTCTACTGGTTTACTGGGTTTAGTAGCAGGTAACGCTTCAACCACTGCCATCAGGACTTTTCAATGCAAGACAGGCCACAAGTCTGAGTCACATGAAACCGGACCCTCCACCACTGTTCTACTGGAAAGGACTGATCAACTTCTCAAAGAATTTGTATAAACCACCTATGAACATCGAGCATGCCTGTTTAAACTCAACAAAGTCTGGAATTGTTGGATGTGTGCTGTACAAAGCCAACAACTGAATTTATCACCCTCTCTTGCAACCATATGGTTTAAACATTTTTCAGATAATTTTTTCATCTCTACCTTGATACAGCAGCCCGGTTATAAATCTGGTATCAGGGGAAATGATGTGGTCGAGAACACAGGGCTGACATACAGAGCTTTCCCCTGAGCTGTACAAGAAAAAAAAAAACAATCAATTCCTTCATCCATGCAAACTGTGTGTATTGAGGCAGCTGCGACAACTGACGCTGCTAATCAGGGGCTGCATCTATAGGTTGGAGTCAATGTCTGGCTGATAATTTGGCTTGCAGGTCACCTTCCGATTAGAAGATATGCATATATTTTTCCTTCTGATACGGCACCCCCTGTGTGTGGTTACATACATTTGGTTCATTTTCAACTCCTAATATTAACTGGTTGGGGCCATGCACAGTATGCCAAGTTAATTCTACACTTCCTTACTTTATTTCGGTGCATCTAACTAATTGCTGCACAGGGATAAAGAGAAAGGGGGTGTTTGCAAGTGCAATAATATGGTCACAATCACCATAGAAAAGGAAAAAAAGAATATTAGTAAAATAATGAAATGCTCTTGACATATGGGCTGAAAACTTTTTAGATGATGCATATCCCTCAGCTGTCAATTTCTTTGGTTTCACTACCAAGTGAGTCCCAGACCTGAACATGCACCTCAGAAGTAACCTACATAAATGTATAAAAAAAAAAAAAAAAAATACAAATGTACATCAAGGCACTGTTGCCTTGCTATGTGTTGAAGCCAGATGATAGCCATGACAGACAAAAATCTAAGTTTCTAGGCACTGCATCACAATTATTACAGGTCCACACTGAAACTGTACTTCAGGCAAACTGCTAAATACAACAATCAATACCTCTCCACCCCCTCAGAAAACAAACCTGCAGATATCGCCTCCTCCAATCTTTTCAGCTCCTCTTCCAGCTCCACCTTAACTTTGTCCAGATCATCTCTGGCCACAGATGGGGGCGCAGGCTGCTGGATGTCTGCAATGGAGATCAGGGCAATATTTCAAGACAGGATGGGTGTTCAGTAAAAGGAATAAACATTGAAAAATACAGGATATAAACAGTTAACCAGAATTAAATATGAGAGGAACTAGTCAAACCAATCTAAAACACAGCAAGTATTTTTAGGGTTAATCTGTATTTCTTATGCAGAGTTTGAGCTCCAAGTCCAAGTAATTGTTTGCGATTTTTTTTCCTTTTTACCTTAATGCCAATTCAACCTTGCTGAAAGTGGAATTTCACTCTCTCAAGCAACATTGACTATTTTACTCTTTCCTTGTTTCAATGCCTAGGCAAATGATGCCATACATCTCAGGAGTCTTCGTGAGGGGAGGAGGGGTTTTCTCAGCTAAGCACACCCTCCTACCTGCATACCTGGGCTAAAGACAGATGGATTCCAGAAAGCATATGCAACATGAATTATCTGCCCTTACGCAAGATGGCCATGGCTAGAAATGCTAGGGGGTGTTTTTCTAAGTGATTTCTCAGCAAAATAAAGGCAGAGACATGGATGGAGGAGTTTGCTTGGAATATTAAAAATGAAATAAATAGCGTTTTTGGTTTGTGATGCTTAGAGTGTAGTTCCGCTTGAAGGACTGATTCTTAATCTACAAGATTGTTTTCAACTATACATACTAACTCAACAGTAAATATTACAGGTGAACTGCAGTCTTCCTTCAGTCTTGCATAGTTTTACAGGCTCTCCTGTACTGAAATCACTTAAGTCGATCACTGACTGATAGAAATTTCGATTCATCTAATGGGCAGGCTGGTTGTCAATAGATCAACTTCAGTACAACCAGCTTGTCAGGTTTTTTTCATGCGATCACTGCTGGCAGCTATAGCCACCAGCAGTGATCATTGTAGTCTGACGGGAGGTTTCCCTAATCAGCACAATATCACAGCGAGAGGGATTCCCCCATCACCACGGACTGGGTTGATGGGGAAATCTAGTGATTCTCTCTTTCAACCCATAGTTGAAGAAGAGAAATGTATGGTCACCCTTACTCTGCGAGGAGCAGAAATTAGTAATTAGAAATGCAGTGAAATTAATGTGCATTAGAAGTTGCAGCAAGTCAGAAAGCCACCTCATTTTCTGGCTGGAGAATGTCCTTGGCCTGCCCCTTTCATTCACTGGATTTTAGTTCTTTCAATCAATGAGGCTCAGCAACACATGTGGGCATTACATAGGATAATCTGCATGCAAATGTGGTCTGCTAAGGAACTCCCATTCTTCCAGACTGACACCCCCTTAGCATTCTCCCCCTATAACCCTACCGCACTATGCAAGCCCCCAGGTTTGTATCAAGCAGTGCAGAATAACCCAGGAATAGATGGGAGGGTGGTCTGTGTCTTGTACTGTAATCCAAGATATGGAATTTATAGGGACATCAATATTCCTCTTCATCGTATAGTACTGGACACAGGTGCATTCATTGGCCCTGGGACGTCCCCAAGCAATGAATATGCCAACAGGCCCAACAAGTGGTCGGAATGCCACTGCAAGAACCCTGTGGCCCAAAGCTGCATCTGCAAAAGATTAGACATTTGCCTGGCAGTACTGAAAAGGTATGAATGGCCAGGTGGCAGCCCATAAACCTTGTACACGGGCTGAAAATTGTGCGAAACTGGTCAGTTCAGCAGGAACCAGCAGACTTATGTCTCCAGTGTATAGCTGTCTATTCTACAGAAGCAGGTCTCATGACCAGCTTCTGTCAAACAAGCGTGCTAGAAAACCAGTATCCGACCCACAATCGATCAGCGCTTGCAGCCAATGGCTGTGGGGCTGATCGGTGATAGCACAGAGGGGGGAGATCGCTGCACTAACATCGCTTGTGTTCGTACACAATCTCTCCCTTCTGATTTCTGCCATTACTACAGGTGAGGATAATCCCCTTTGAGAATCTCACAGGCAAGCATATGGAAATAGGGTAAGCGTGCGCAAGAAAGTAAGTAGCAACCCGGGTGCAGAATTCCCTATACCGAAGTTCTCATGGCAAAAGGGTGGGAAGAGGTACCCGAGTATCTCATAAAAAGGCTCTAGGCAGAAGTGGCAGTAAAGTGTGTGACCTGTGGTGTGATTTAACACCTAGTCATCCACCTGAGACTAAGCTCAGAATGGTTGAATTTTCTCACAGTAATAATCAGAGATACAGAGTCACTCTCTCCTACCGGTCATGGTTGTCATACCCCCGGAGGGGTTTTAAAAGGTCTGGGTTCCATAGGGGTGGACCACGGCCCTGAACCTGTATAGCACCCTGCAACGAACTACACACGTTGCACAATGTCCTGAGGTAAGTGCCCGTGCAGGATCCAGTGCCCAAAGCAACATTACAGACCATCGCCACAGTGTGGGGTCCAGATACGGTTGTCAAGGTATTACCAAGGCTGTACTGATCCAGATGCACTGCATTTTCATATTAGAAGAAAGTGAAAAGATGACTGAAGAATTCAAAAGAGAAAATTACTAAACTATTTTTAGCAAAGAGTAATTTCTCTGTAAGAGAGAAAGGGCCCATTACCTTTAGGACAGTAGGAAAATACTGAGGACTCACAAAGTGGGGTAGTGTTAAAGGAAGGGAGGCACTCAGGGGGCATGTCCTCAAAAGCTAGCCAATATCCAAATATCTCAGGGTACCAGCCTATAACCCATAACCCAGGGTCAATGAATACGCAATCTGTGTACTGTATTGAATTATAAAGATGAAACCTGTTTTGTACCAGCCCTGACAAAGAGGCAGCAAGCACAGAACAGCTGTAGGCTCCCGTAACTTTCTGGAATCTCTATTGTGTTGTATGTTTTAGCGTTTTGTAGGTCCAAATCTGGTACCTAAAGAACCAAAACATCAGCCACCATGCTCCATCTCCTAGCAGAGCTAAAGTAAGAGACCGATATTCTCAGAAGACTGGGTAGAACTTATGCTCAGTTCCAGCTTTTCGTGAGAGCTTGATTTCACCCGACAACCTGTCAGACAGAATTAGAAACCAGGCGGAAAACACGGGAGAGAGCAGAAGCCGCTGCCACGCCATGCACAGTGACACTCACTAGTTACTGGGCAGACCTAAATATCTGTAGAACCAGCCAGAGACGCTGGGCGGAGCGCCAGCTGTGCACGCTTACACAACCCAACATTTAACAGTAGCGCCTTGTCAGCATGGGACCACAAGAGACCTCGATCAAAATTAAAAACGAGTGGATGGGCCAGGGATGAAACTGATCAAATGTGGTATAAAATGTGGCATAAGTGGAAGTGAAGGAACGCACATATGCATCAGAATGAAAACAGCAAAAATTAAATATACCATGCAGGAAGCTAAGGAGGAGTTACAACAGCATCCCACAAGCTAGATGGCAGATTTATGCTGAAGAGCATGCATAAAAAAAAACAAACAAAAAAACACAAAATTGGGCCAGGAGTAGCGCTGGATCCCAATGTCATTTGGGTTCCAAAAACATTATCAGTCAGATCAGCAAGTCTCCTTAAACATGTCCTTTTTACCCACTAAAAAGAGTCTTGGATAAAACTGGAACCGTAAAAAAAAAAAAAAAAAAAAAAAAAAAAACACACACAAAGAAAAAAGTGGGGTGTTGCAGAAGAATGATGAAGGTTAGTAGCCAATGTCTTCGGGGAGTTTCCAAACCACTCTTCTTCAGGGCTTCAGATAAATAACGTTCTGCCCAGAGAAGTCGCTTTAAAGAAACAACTGTTCCTGGCAGATTCTGACACGGCTAAGCCCATTGGCTTGGTGGGACATGCTAGAGGATCCAGCTTGAGTTTATACAGTGGGGAAAATTATTTGATCCCCTGCAGATTTTGTAAGTTTGCCCATTTACAAATGAAGGGTCTATAGTTTTGATCATAGATATTTTTTAAATGCTAGAGAGAATATCAACCAACAATCCAGAAAATCCACGATACAAATGTTATAAAATTGAGCTGCAGTGCAGCGAGTAATTTACGTATTTGATCCCCTACCAACAATAATTCTGGCTCCAACAGACTGGCTATGTGCTCATGTAGTACACAGGAGCACCTTCTTAAAATTGACAGGACTAATCTAACGACAACTCGTTATGTGTATAAAGACACCTGTCCACTGAATCTTTTTCTTCCATTCAAATCTCACCATCATCTGAAAGACCACAGAGCTGTCAAAGGACATCAGGGACAAGAATTTAGACCTGCACAAGGCTGGAATGGGCTACAAGACCATCAGCAAGAAGCTTGTTGAGAAGGTGACAACTGTTGGAGCGATTATTCGCAAATGGAAGAAATACAAAATAACCATCAATCACCCTCGGTCTGGAGCTCCATGCAAAGTTTAGCCTCATGGGGTAAGGATGATCACGAAAAAAGTGAGGGAACATCCAAGAACTACAGAGGAGCTTGTGAAAAATCTCAAGGAAGTTGGAACCACAGTCACCAAACAAACCACTGGTAACACAACACGTGCCATGGATTGAAATCCTGCAGCACCTGCAAGGTCCCCCTCTTTCTGAAGGCACATGTACAGGCCCCTCTGAAGTTTGCCAGTGAAGATCTAAATCGCAGTTGTCAAACTGGCGGCCCTCCAGCTGTTGTCAAAAACTACAAGTCCCATGAGGCATTGCAAGATTGACAGTTAAAAGCATGACTCCCAAGGGCAGAGGCATGATGGGACTTGTAGTTTTGCAACAGCTGGAGGGCCGCCAGTTTGACACCCCTGATCTAAATGATTCAGAGGAGGATTGTGAGAAAGTGATGTGGTTAGATGAGACAAAAATAGAGCTCTTTGGCATTATATCGACTCGCTGTGTTTGGAGGGAAAAAAAATGACCCCAAGAACACCAATCCTACAGTCAAGCATGGAGATGGAAACATTATGGTTTGGGGCCATTTCTCTGATCAAGGTACAGGCCGACTTTGCCACAGTGAGGGGCCATGTATTGTAAAATCTTAGATGAAAACCTTCTTTCCTCAGCCAGAACACTGAAGATGGGTCGTGAATGGGTCTACCAGCATGACAATGACACAAAACACAACACCAAGGCAACAAAGAAGTGGCTCAAGAAGAAGCACCTTAAGGTCATGGAGTGGCCTAGCCAGTCTCAAAACTTTAATCCTATAGAAAATTTATGGAGAGAACTGAAACTTCGAGTTGTCAAGCGACAGCCAAGAAACCTTAAGGATTTAGAGAAGATCTGTAAAGAAGAGTGGACCAAAATCCCTCCTGAGATGTGTCCAAACCTGGAAACCAACTACAAGAAACGTCTTACCTCTGTGCTTGCCAACAAGGGTTTTACCACCAAAGTACCAAGTCATGTTTTGCTTGGGGATCAAATAGTTATTTTACTCACTGAAACTCAACTTATAACATTTGTACTATGTTTTTTCTGGATTTTTGGTTGATATTCTGTCTATCATTTAAAATACACGTATGATACAAAAGATATAAATGATAAATTTTTAAGTGGGCAAACTTACAAAATCTGCAGGGGATCAAATAATTTTCCGCACTGTATGTTGCGGATTATGTTCACGTAGAAAGACTGTACACTTGTTTTTTTCTGGATTTTTGGTTGATATTGTGTTTCTATCATTTAAAATACACCTATGATTAAAATTATAGACCCTTCATTTCTTTGTAAGTGGGCAAACTAACAAAATCTGCCAGGGATCAAATTATTATTTTCCCCACTGTAAGGTCTGTCTGCCGCTATGTTATTTTAGAATCAAGATCTTGACAATGTGTAGAGGTAGTTTAGGGCAGTCTGGTGTCAGATACCAAATCAAGCCCTTAGCTGGAGATAATCCTGGACCAGCATCGTGGGTGGCTCAGTTTACTGCATAAGTGGAAGACAGTGTGGTGGATTTTAAAAGTAGAAGACACCTTACTTGAAACAAAGTAAATAAAAAAATTACAATGTTACCTTGTACAGTGTCTATCTCCTGTCTGTACAATGTTTATTAACACTGTGTCAGATGTCCATTTTTGACAGCAGCAGTTTGCACAGATGGTGTATTTACACAGTAACCCCCAGCTGGGTATTGCCAGAAAGTGCAGGTGGAAGAGATGGGTGAGAAGGGGGGAGATAGGACATACTACACACATCCTGTTTACTTTGATGACATTTTGACCACATTGTTATCACAACTGCTTAAGCTCTGTATGAGCAAAACCTGTTCGAGACAGGAGCACTAAGCGGGCCATGCAAGGCTGCTAAGAGTAAATAGTTTTACAGCCTGTGTATGGTCTGCACTTTTGTTTTTTTTAGATATACATCAAACACTATATGTAACTGGGTTGTGGAGAGCTAAGGGTTAAACATCCACCTGTGCTGGGAGTGACCAAGGGAATATCAGTGATTTTTTGTGGAGGTTAATGTGCATTGTGTTGCGTATGAAAAAGTGATAATAAATGTCAGGCTTTTTTAAAAAAAAAAAAAAAAAAAAAAAAAAAAAAAGTGGTTAAACTTACCTGCTCTGTGCAGTGGTTTTGCACAGAGAAGCCCCGATTTTCCTCTTCTCGAGTCCCCCGCCTGCGCTCCTGGCCTCTCCCTCCTGCCTGGTGCCTCCAAACTAAGCAGTTTGCTATGGGGGTACCCAAGCAGTTAAAGCAACAGTTTTTTTTTTCTTTTGGGATTTATTACATAAGTAAATAAATCGTATCATTGTAAGCATCCCTGTCAGTTCTAACAATGGTAAATGGCTTGTATCAACCCTCTAACCGCTACATCTGCAGGACAGCTTGTTCAGTTGCAGAACAACATACTTACTGGCTAGATGACATGGCATAAAATGAAGGAAAGGAAGTTCAAAAAAGAAAACTAATTCAGCCATTACATGAAAGAATTGGTGAGCTGCTATATAATATTTGCATCTGGGTTTAATACCACTTGTATGTTAACCCCAAAATTAGGATTTAATGTATGTGTAGGCCTATTCATTTAGCTATCAGTAAATGTACACTTTTTTTCAGATTATGTTTGTTGCTGCTAAATACTGTATCTGGTTATCCTTCCATTTCCAAAGTGCTGAGCAAACCGTTAGCGCTATATAAATCCTGTATAATAATACTAATAATTTCCCCTTGGATGCGGTTTCAAATTGACCACGCCAAGTACGGAAGCAGCCCTGTGCTGGTGTGGTCATTTGCGAGTCTGTTTTCCCTCTTTGGAAGGCTGTGCAATCACAAGACCACACAATAAAACGAAAAATGTACAAAACATTCGTTTAGAACTACAATTTTTTTAAAAATAAACTAATAATATACTTTGTATCACAATGTGCTATTGTACATTGACATTTAGTTTAAAATGGACCTGCTCCACAATGCATGGTAGTGTGCTGGCTTAGTGGGTTGAGGTATAGCTGAAAATGAGTGGCAAGGCAATGCATCATAGTAGGTGTGTTGCCGTATGTTTCACTCTGGCACAGAGGGCTGAAGCCAGCCTATACCAATTTTTAGAACTAATACAGACATCATACTGTAAGAGATCTTTGTCCGCCGTGTATAGCATGTGGGGACCAGCAGTACCACCGACCCCCAACAAGTCACCAATTGCAATGTCATCTACTTACCAGCACTAGTTGCAGGGGGTGCTTCCCTTGTAGCCTCTTGTGGGGAGAGCCCCAGGTAGCTGAGCACAACATACTTCGTTTCATAATGGAATCCAACAGGCACTGAGGATGCTGACGCCATGGGCTTCGAGAGAGAGAGGTATGGAGGAGAGCAGAGGTCCTGCATGGAAACACAAAGGGCATTAAAAAGGTATGTTCAGGGAGCGGTTATTGTCACATTCTCCTGAAAGAAAGTATGAAGCAAGTTTCACATTTTACACTGGTCAAGTTATATTCTTCGTCTACTGCACTTTGATCCACAAAAGGTTCATGGCAAGTTTTAGCATGAACTGTAAATGTTAACAGCAGTTACCCCTACAGCAAAATAAGACATGCCAGCTGAAACTAAAAGAATATGTGAGCTTCACAATAAACTTTTTTTTTTTTATTCAGACAATAGTGGTTAAAAAAAAATACATTCCGAATAGCATACTACAGACGAGATCCATACAATACTGCTGAGATAAATGTGTAGGACCAGAGGACTGTAAGGAAGTATTGTTCACTTTTGCATGAGTAGTACACACAGTAGCAGAGTATTGAATAATGCAGACATTTTGGCATTGAAATGATCTCCCTAATCCACTAATTTAAGTTATGAAATCTGCCCAAAAATTGTAGAGAGGGACTTGGGCCCTGAATTGATTCCAGTCTGATAAATGCAAGCTCATGCATGGACCCACAGGGATGCATGCATTTATCAGACCAAAACCAAATCTAGGACCCTTGCACACCTTTAATAAACTAGGTTAGCCAATAAAAGTACATCACTTAAAACTACTACATCATAACTCCTCCCAATACTAAAACAAATCTGTCCTCTTTGAAGAACAATGAACCTTAAGCAAGACTCCAGTTAATGCAGTTGCTTTTATTATTCAGAAATATTTTCCATTATCAGAAAAGGCGGTTCAGTTGGCAGCGTTCCTCTACATAATTACTGGACAGCAAGTCACATGTGTGCCAGAAACCATTAACTTCATTTATTCTGGTGCTCTGTAGTCTTTTAAACACAGTCAACATTCTTTTACTTTGTGCTGGGAAATTGCCTCTAATACTTCTTTACAATAAAGCCCTGCTTTCCCTTACCAGGGCCAGGCTTAGGCCAAAGTGGCAACTGCCTTGGGTATAGTGCGGAGGGGGTAAGGCTAATGCGGGTGCCGCTCTTGCCTCTGCATTGCCCTGCCATGTCCTGTACTGTGCAATTTTCAAACCGATAGGCTCAGTCTACAGAGTATACTGGGAGACTACAGCTCTCACAACACCACATTACAATGGGAGATCTGCATTTTCCTGCTAAACAGAGCACAGCGTTTGGCTGTCAATGAGCTTCAATGATTACACAAGGAGAGCTACATTCTTACAAACAGAGCACAGTGCCCTAATGATTTACACAGGGAGAGTCATTTTCTCCTAATAAACAGAGCACAGCACCTGGCTGTCACAGATCTCCTATGATTACACAGGGAGAGCCTAGTTCTCCGGATAAACAGAGCGCAGCACAAAAAAGTGGCAACCAATCTATAACTGGCCTTTGCAGCAAGGTGCACATGCAGGGCCATGGATAAGGGGGTACTACCAGTCTTCCTGTATGGGGCCCAGGCCAGCAGGAGGGCCAAGACAGCTGGGTGAATCGGATGTGGGCAGGGAGGGTGATCAGCAAGGGGGGGGGGGGGGCAATTGCTGGAACCGATCCACTGTATGGCGCTCTGCAGCAGCTGAAAGCTGGCTTCTTCTCCTCTCCCTCCCGCTGGCTCAGCTGCTGAAGAGTACCATACAGGGGATCAATTCCAGTAATTGCCCCGCACCGCACCCATCACCCTAGCTGTACATCATATGTTTCCTCCTGCTGCCCAGGCACCCCGGTGTGCCCCCATCCCCGCAGTGATGCTGGCTTCCCTCCATCAGCTGCAAGCACACAGCAGGATCCCTCAAGATGAAGAGGGTGGGAAGGGTCTGGTAAATATGTCACATTTACTTTCCTTCCCCGAATGAACACAATAAGTAATCAGTACTGGCCATGCACTGTGTTCATTCATAACTAAAGCATAGTAAGCTGTGTTTTTTTGTTTCTTCTTGGGGGGGGGGGGGGGGGGTCGTAGTGAGGGCCCTGTGATTTTGGCTGTATGGGGCCCCGTGGTTCATCACAAAGGATTTCCCAGCACTTACCAGCCAGCCTGCAGGGTTTTGTTTACACACATTTGCAAATATACACTATATTGCCAAAAGTATCCAGCACCCCAAATCATTGGATTCAGGTGTTCCAATCACCTCCATGGCCACAGGTGTATAAAATCAAGCTCCTAGGCATGCAGACTGCTTCTACAAACATTTGTGAAAGAATGGGTCGCTCTCAGGAGCTCAGTGAATTCAAGCGTGGTACCGTGATAGGTTGCCACCTGCGCAATAAGTCCATCCATGAAATTTCTTTACTACTAAATATTCCACACGGTCAACTGTTAGGCTGGCCACACACTATACAATTTTCTTGAGAATTTTGCTTTAGATTTACCAAAAACCATATAAATAGGGAGGTCAAACCTGAACAACTCTTTCAATTGTATCCAATAAGGAAGGCCCTTGCTCTACATAGTTGAAAGTAAATCTAAAGGAAATTGGGCATAAATTGTATAGTGTATGGCCAGTCTTAGTGGTATTATAACAAAGTACTATCAACTGGGAACAACAGCAATCAGCCATGAAGTGGTAGGCCACGTAAAATTGACAGAGTGGGGTCAGCGCATGCTGAAGCGCACAGAAGTCGCCAACTGTCTGCAGAGTCAATAGCTAAAGACCTCCAAACTTCATGTGGCCTTCAGATGAGCACAACAACAGTGCATAGAGAGCTTCATGGAATGGGTTTCCATGGCTGAGCAGCTGCATCCAAGCCTTACATCACCAAGTGCAATGCAAATCGTTAGATGCAGTGGTTTGATCCAATCCGCATGACATGAAAAACATGGCTTCCTATGGTGCCTGTTCACATGACCAGTGCACTGGCAGTGCGGATTCAGTGTGGTTTTAAAAAGTCATGTCCGATTTCTAAGCAGTGTGATCCAATTCAGGTGCGGATTATAGCCTATTGATTTCTATGGGAACCATTTCTAAACCTGACATGTGTGAACAGGATAAAATCCTGAGCTGATCCTGTCCAGAACCTGATGTAAACCTGACCTGAAACTGGTGAACAGCTATTGTATTAATTAGGAGCTAATTCACACATGTGCAGTGTGGATTGAAGCTCAGGTTTCACAGCTACTTGTTCACAGGTCAAGGATCAGGTCAGGTTTACATCAGGATCAGGTCAGGTTTACATCAGGATGAGGGAAGAAAAAAACAAAAAAAAAAAAAAACAAAAAAACACACCACACACAGGGCCAATTGTTTGAGATAAATAGAGCACAGCACCCAGCTGTCACAGAGCTCCTATGGATTACACAGGGAAAGCGGTGTTCTCTTGATTAAGCCCCGGTTCACATATATGCGGCCATGCAGACTGCGTTTTGCACGGGCATGAGAGCCCATTCATTTGAATGGACTCCTGTGCCCCATGACACGCAGAGAAGTCCCTACAGTTCTTCTGAAAATGCAGCACAGACGGGAACCTCGGTTGAGTTTTCCAGTGCGGGCGGCATGCCATTAGAAATAATGGCACCCGCCCGCAGGTCCGCATTTCTCTGTGCGGGTGGTGCAGCGGCACCATGCGCACAGATGTGAACCTAGCCTTACAGAGCGCACTGCTTGGATGTAAAAAAAAAATCTCCCAAGATTACACAAGGAGAGTCACGTTCACCTGATAAACAGAAACACAGCACCCTGCTATCATAGAGTCCTAAGGACTACACAGGGAGCGTCGTGCTCTCCTGATAAATAAAGCACAATGATCCAGCATTGGTGAGGGACACTACATTACACTGGCAGTCTGTCCTATCTGAATGCGTTCCATATGACCTCTCCTAGACCAGTAACTGCAGTTCCAGAAAAGCTGCAATATAGCAGGAGGCCAGTCCCAAGCAGTGATGTGAGTGAAAATGGACATGAAGTGGCTGAAAGAGACAAAAAGTGATCAGTAAAACTAAGATAGTACAAAAAAAAAAAAAAAAAGTGAAAACAAGATTTTAGAAAGAAAAAAATAAAAAAACATAGCAATGGTTTTACTATACCCAGAGCCAACTAAATGTCACCTAGTTAGGGTTCACATCTGTTTTTGGTTTCCTGCACAGTAATGGTCCTTCACAGAATCTCCAGGGTGACCTGTTGCACCACCCAGACGAGGAGCTGAGACGTGACACCCGTCACACCCCTCTCCATGGCAGAAGGAAGACCGTTCACCTTCCTCTGTCAGCAAACCCCACAGAGGACATGACCTTCAGTGACTAGAGGAGCCGGTCTCAGGTTTAATTACGGCCCCAAAACATTTATAGTTCAATGTGTGGAGCCAGCGCCGCACTCTGCACACTCAGGGTTAATACAAATATGATCACAGAAGTCTCAGCTGTCAGTAATCAACTGCAGGCTAATGAAAGAAAAGATCTGATTGGTTGCTGTGAGCAATACATTGTTTTTGTACACTGGTCTTGTTCACAAGTGATGCACTTTTCACTCCCTTAAGCCATCAATGGAGAACAAAAAAAAAAAAACCCACACAAAACTAAAAACGAATAGCCCTTTAAAAGACAAAAATTAACAAAACCATATTTGCAGCAATATTCACCTTTCAACCTAGAATTTTCAACTGCAATACTTTTTTCTGCCACTTGATGACCTCAGGTTCATGGCCAGCATCATTCAACCCACTTCTGATCCCAAGCTGTCCTAGAACTACCCCCCCCCCCCCCCCCCCCCCCCCCCCCCGCCGCTTTTGATTGGATAGTGAAAGGAGAAGCAGCACAGTAATGAGTTCATTTCTCTGTCACTCTGCTCTCTTCTCCTATCTGCATGCTGCTTGTTAGCACATGAACTGAGTGGCTCATTGCGCTGCTTCTCTCACAGTACAGCTCTGTTGCACAAGGACTGTATGAGCCAGATACTAGGTCAGATTCAGTACTTACATGGTTTGTATTCAAACAATACATTAATGAA